CCATGTCACTGAATTGTACACGCAGAAATTGTTGAGTTGGCATATGTTTTGTAATGTATATTTTCACCACAATAAAAAAGCAAGGAAACAATAAACACAAAATTCAAGATACTCCTCGGGGTAGGGGAGCAGGTGGATGGAATCAGAGAGGCTGCAGGGACTACAGGGTGACTAGCAATGGTCTATTGCTTAAACTAGGTAGTAGATGCACATGTATTCGTTGTATACCCTTGTTATGGACTAAATTGTGTCTCCCAAAAATATGTGTTGTAAATCCTAACCTCTATGCCTGTGGTTATAATCCCATTTAGGAATGGGTTTCTTTGTTAAGTTAATGAGGCAGGATTAGTGTAGAGTATATCTTCAGTCAATCTCTTTTGAGATATAAAAGAGATGAAATAAGAAAGTGAGAAAAGTAGAGATGGGGAAAAGAGATGCCAAGCCACGTGAAGATCACCCAGGAGCAGAAGCTCAAAGAGACAAGGACCTTTTCCCAGAGCAGACAGAGAGAGAAAGGCTTCCCCTAGAGCCAGTGCCCTGAATTCAGACTTCTAGCCTCCTAAACTGTGAGAAAATAAATTTTTGCATGTTAAAGCCACGCAGTTGTGGTATTTCTGTTATAGCAGCACTAGATAACTAAGACAATCCTACACAATATTTCATAAATATTCTTTTGCATATAATAAATATTTAATTTTAAAGAGAAGAAAGCATTTTCCAAAGCCCTGTTCTAGGCTTTCATAAGCTTTAGGAGGCCCAGGCAGCCTCTCTCTAACATTCTTCATCTCTCTGGAAACACAGCCTCTGAGTTGTCCCTCCCTGCCCTTCAGCTTCAGTCTCTTCTTTCTCTCCGTGGACCCACTTTCTCTGCTTACTCATCTGGCCACATAACCTAGGCATGGCTGGCCACCCCAGAATGGTGGCCTCAACCTTCCCACTCCCGAGTCTGGAGGTCCAGCTCAAACAGCAGAATTTCTGTATTCGTATTCCCAATTCCTAGGAAAGTGACCCTAATTGTCCTAGGTAGGGTCTAGTGTCCACCCTGATTCTAATCAGCAATGGATGGTGGGATAGGAACAGGAAGGATGTAGAGCCGCCCCATCTAAGACTGAGAAAGGTGAAGGTTTTAAGAGATGACTATTTCCGATGCACTAGGGTCAAAAACGTGTTTCTTCCAGCCTATGTAAGTATCTTTGCAGGCCATGTTATCCAGGTGTCTCTCAACCTGCTGTTCTGCTCCACTGGTCCCCGCTTTCCATCTTCCATCTCTCAGTTCTCCTCTTCCCTGCTCATTGCATGGCGTGAATGAAGTGTCTGCAGATTAAAAAAGGACCACCCATGACCTTTCCTCTCGATTCCACAACAGTCAGTGTAGCATTATTGGCACCACAGTCACATAAACAAATGCTGCTTCTTAAACACCAAAAATGTTTGGCAGTTACTAGCTTAAAGATATTCATCCAGGCGTTTCATTCAATTCAAATATTTACTGAGCATCTGTTAGATGCTGTCTTGGTCATCTAGCGCTGCTATGACATACCACAAATGAACAGCTTTAACAAAGAGAAATTTATTCTCTCACAGTCTAGTAGGCTAGAAGTCTAAATTCAGGGCATCACCTCCAGGGGAAGGCTTTCTCTGTCGGCTCTGGAGGAAGGTCCGTGTCATCAATCTTCCCTTGGTCTGGGAGCTTCTCTGCGCAGGAATCCCAGGTCCGAAGGACGCACTCTGCTCCCGGCACTCCTTTCTTAGTAATATGAGGTTCCCGTGTCTCTCTGCTCACTTCTTTCTTTTATATTTAAAAAGAGATTGGCTCAAGACACTATCTAATCTTGCAGACCTCATCCATATAACTGCCACTAACCCATCTTATTACATCATAGTGATAGAATATACAACACGTGGGGAAATCACATCAGATTACAAAATGGTAGACAATCATATAATACTGGGAATCATGACCTAGCCAAGTTGACAGATATTTTGGGGGGACACAATTCAATCCATGACAGATGCCATATAAATGTTCTATGTACTAGGATAGAGCAGTAAAGAAAATATCCAAAATTTTCTGTCCTCATAGAATTTGCCGTGCAGTAAGGGAGATGTGCAATAAAAAGAAATACAAATGTACCATGTTAGTTACAAATGTTTAAAAAAAAAACAGAGAAGCCAGATAGGAAGGGACAAGTGTGTAGGGGTGGTTCAGAAATTGTGCTTATGTCTATCTTAACTTATTGTTATAATGGAATCACAAAATTTTTAATTTGCAGAAAACTTTCTGAGCCCCAATAATACATCGGTGGATTTCCAGAGATCCATTGACCCAAGCTTGAAAAAAACTGCATAAGAGTCCTCTTTGTTCCAAAGCTGTGTGAGGGTGGGTGGCAAAGCAGGGACAAAACCAGTTGGTTTTGTGTTATACTCTACTGAGGATGTTTCAAAAACATACTACTATTGCCCCATGTTTATGCATTTTCAGTGAAACACATCTCTCAATTTTTGTTTTCAGCCTTTTCTGCCACCCATGATCCCCAAACACAGACTGATGGACATTCATCAGCACTGAACTATCCTTTAGAACAATGCATCGTGAGCAATACATAAGTTTTCACTATTATGACTGTTATTGCTCTACAATGATTAAGGCTTTGTTTACTGGGTCAGGTAGTCACATCCAGATACTTCTTGCCTTAGGATGAATTCTCTCCTATAAAGTTTCGCATGCAGCCTTGGTTGTGAGCATCTGTTTCCTTCCCCACAAATATTCCTTCTCTCTTCCTCTTTTGCCTCTCTTTTCTAAGGACAAGCTTTCTTCCTTGCTTTTTCTTTTGCTTTCTTTTTTGTTTACTTGTTTTACAATTCAGTGATTTTTTTGGCATATTTACAAGGTTGTGCAACCGTCACGACTATCTAATTCAAGAATACTTTCACCATCCTCAAAAGAAAACCTGTACCAATTAGCAGTCATTCTCCATTCCCACTCCCTCTCCCCTGAGACCCTAGCAGCCACTAATCTACTTTCTGTCTCCATGGTTTTGCCTATTTTTGTCATTTCGTATAAACAGAAATATACAATACGTGGTCACTTGTCCAAGGACAATCACCACATGGTAGGTCCTCAATCAATATTTATTGATTAACTGGTGTCTCTCTAACAAGGATACCAACAAGGCTCTTTCCCTTAAAAGAATCTCAGTTTTCCACTCATGAATAGGTTTACACGTAAAAAGAAACAATATTTGATGGTTACGAGGGATGGGACGGGTTGGGGGGGAATACTAAATAGACAATAGAGAAGTGGTAACTTTGGTGAAGGGTAAGACAGTACACAATAATGGGGAAGCCAGCACAACTTGTACAAGGAAAGGTCATGGAAGCTCCATAGACACATCCAAACTCCCTGAGGGACTGAATTGCTGGGCAG